AAACATTCGTCGCAAACCGCTGCCAGTTTTGATATGGAGAACAAAGAGAAACGAAAAGAGTTTAAATGGCCGTAAAGTCTGCATGCAACTTCTAGAGGTCCTCAATGGCTTCGACTGACCATCCATCAATCAGAGCCGCTCCCACGTGTCCCAGAGATAGATTCAAGTGTACGATCGCTCGCGGCAGCGATCCCTGCATAAATCATTAATATCAGCATTTAAGTAGTAGCAGAAGACACTGGTGACAGAGACAGAACCAAGTTCGACAATTCATTTTATTAGCCACATCGCGATGAGAACAAAACAAGCCCATGAATGTTCGTCCGGCATTCGTTACTTCTGTTTAGGATTGAAAATTAACGTCATTTATGAAGACTTCTCTAGAGGATGTACTGAACCGTGTAGGGATGAAAGTGGTATACTATTGGAAGCTGTTCAAACTCAACAATCTACCATTATTCATTACGGAGACGATCGTGTACTGAACAGTCCAACATTACAGCTAATAAGGAATAAAAGAGAATAATACAGATCAGTCTAAAAAGCCGAACAATTACATGACACCTTTGAACGATTCGATCAAACCATCTAGAATCACAGTAGATAGCTTTACATTATCCTGTCAAGAACTAGGTTTGTTCAATTCGAAAAAATGCCAAAAATAATATCAAATGGCAGTAAAAATGATCTGTCATGAAACAATTAAGACTCATGGCCGAAAAATCAGTGCTTCAAAATTCCTGCATAATACAGTACCAAGGCATCATTTCAACCACCGTCCGGGTGGTGCTATTATCATCAACTAATGAGGTTTAACAAACTGTTTAGAGTACACAGTGTCAGATATAGTAAACTTCATTTATCTTGTGAGAACCCTGTGCGCTGTAAACGGAAGTGGCAATTAGAAAACTGAAGGAAAGTGAAACCACTGGATGAAGAATATCATGCAATGCTTTACTGAACACAGCATAAGTAGGGAGAAGGAAGAAATTCCATAATTTATCGTAATACCGAAATCGTTATACATTTACGGAGAGAGGTTTTCAAGGGAAGAACAGCTGAATCTAAATTAAAATAAACTTTAATAGCACATGTAGTTATATACTGACTTATAAGTAAACATAAGCTGCGACAATTGATTATTCGATTTC